TTCTGGGTAATTTTTTCAATTCTGTTTTGTATATGACTCGTATATCATTTGGGTTTTTATCATCTACATTCTTAGATTGGTAGGATAATTAGATTCAAAAAATATAAAGAATTGTAGTTTGAATTACGAGTTTCATGGTATTGGACAAATATGAAATGTATACTAGCATTTTTTTCCTTCCTTTTTTTTTTCTAGTTATATTGAGTCATTAATTGACTCTTGAAGTTCAATAAAAATATCAATTTGCCTTTGAAATAATAAACTCCTAATATTTTTACAATATTGTTAAATTGATCGGATATTGGATATCTGAATTTTTCGGATATCGATCCGATAATCGGATTTCCAAAAATTTTCGGATCGAATAAGGATATCAAATATTTGAATTTTCGGATACGGATATCCGATCCGTGCTCACCCATAGCAAGATGTTTATGAAAAAAATGCATCGCCACATGGACCAACGAGAATGTGGCACTTGGCATTGACGCGCCACGTCTGCATCCATCGTCCCTAGTGGACCAACCAAACACTGACACGTGTCGTCTTACTCAGCTTTCACAGCCAACGAAGGGTTGACTCGTGGAGCCCAGTAAATAGGCTTAAATTCTGAGGTACGGGACAAAGCCCGGTAAACCTAGGTTAAAAACCCTAGGGGGCACGTTTCCCTAGAGTAGAGTATAAATACTGTCATTAATGACAATAAAAACAACTTTACAGCTTCTTTAATCACAATTACTCTCACACTTACCTTAAGAATCACAAATCATTTATTGCTTATCCCATTCTCGTTTTCCGCACTTTTCTGTACAATTTTTCTCTGTCACGTACTTACTTGATCGTCGGAGGCAGAACATCGTACCTCAGTGCTTTCGTTGTTTTGCAGGTACAAAGACCCGATGGATTGCGACCTCGAATTTTACTCTCCCGCAAGATGTACATAGAAACCCCCAAAACACTACCAATTTTTTTTATTGAAATAAATTTTATCATCTAAGTATTAAAGTTTTAGAAAAAAAAAGAATGATAATATTATAATAATATTAGATAATAATATTATTCTAATATATTTCCTTATATATGTTAGTATATTTGGTAAGAAAAATTTTCCTAGTACATGGAATATATATAAAAATATTTCAATTGAGTGTATTTGGATTAAATATGTTGTTAAAATGAAAAGTAAATATATATTTTTTTGATAAGAAGTAAATATTATATGTTATAAAATGGATATTATGAAAATTTGGCGACAAAAAAAAAGGAAAGAAAAAAAGACGGGAAATTTTTTCACCTGGAGATGACATGTGTCATCCCTAATTTAGCATTTAATATATAGTTATTAATTATTGATTGATTGATTATTGATTATCAAGTAATAACCACCTTTAATTTTCATTTTCCAAACCAAAAGTCCATCTCAAATCAACATAATAAATGATATCTTGAAATGATAACAATAAATGAAGTGCTCGTATAAGATAACAAATGAGTTTGAAAATAAATATATTCAATGATTTTTTTATTTTTATGTATATGTATATATATATGTGTGTATATATACATATATATACATATATATATACACATACACACACACACACACACACACACACATATATATATACACACACATACACACACACACACACACATATATATATTGTAGTGTCGGTGAGCGGTCTTGTACTCACCCTACCCTTACCCCTATCAACCCCGAAACCCTCACCCTCACCCTACCCCTACCCCCACCAGCCTCGAAACCCTCACCCTACCCACTCCACCAATCTGAACCCCTACCTCATTTCTCCCTATGCTTTGAAAACTGGTGGTTTTTGGGGTGACTGGTGGTTTTTAATTTGGGGTTAGAAGAGGAAGAAGGAGGGGAGCGGTAGTGGTAGCGGCAGGGAGCGATGGCGGTTCAGGTGGGTGTCACTGTCGGTAGTTCGTCAGCACGGAGGAGAGAGAAGGGATCGGAGTTTCTGGGTGGTCGTGAACAGCAGCGTGGGGCTGCGGTTGGTCAGAGGGGGCAGGTGATCGAGGCGATGGTGGCAACGACGGAGCTGCGGTGTTGGGCGAAGAAAATGGGTAGAGCTGCCATGGCCTAGGTTTTTATGGTGGGTGTAAGGTGGCTGAAGGGGGGAGGGGGTGGTTTGGATGATTTTTGATATTTTTTATTTTATATAGCTAGCATTTTATTAAAAAGTTATATCATTTTTTGAAAGGTTGGTTTATTATTATTTTTTTTATTTTATTTTTATTTTTACATATTAAAATTAAAAAAAAAAGTAAATTTAAAAAAAAAACAAAAAACCAATTAGAAAGTGCCACGTCAGCACTTATAACCGGTTGAAACGGTCAAATGACTTGCAAGGGTTGATGTGAGAAAAAGGGGGGAAAAGGTTGGATTAATGAGGAATAATCAGAAGGTGGGATTAATATGGGAGAACGGACAAAAGGTTGGATTATTCTTGTTAAATTTTCCATATATATATTATTTAAAAATCTGAGCATTTTTCAGGGAAAGTTCATGTACCTAGGGGTGATCACGAATTTCGGATTGAATAGTTCGGATATCCAATATTCGAATATTTTAAAAATAATTATTTAAATGCTTGAAATTTTTAATAGCAAATTTGAATTTGTTTTTTTTAAGGCAAAATATACATTTAACTTTTTTGTTTTATGGAGTATAACCCGAAATCCTTAACCATAGTTCAAAAACAACAGCAATGACAAAAATAAATTAAAAAAGCAATCAATCAATTCATAAACTAGCCTTAAATAAATTAATACACAGACATTCAACCCATGAATTGAAATAACATATACACGGCTTCAACAATATAAACCTTCAACTAAATAATAGTGTAGATATAAACCACCTACTACCCTGAACTACAGAACCAGAACCACCCTCAACCGCGAACGACTTCGTCCACGAACCAGTCGAACCTCCATCCGAGGTGTTGGTTCGATTGTTCGAGTGAGAGTTTGAGGCTTGGTTCGAAGTGCCGGCTTGGTGATGCGAGATCAGAGGATCTGGTGCGACGGGGGGTCTAGATGGGTGTGGGTGGTGGTCTGATGCGTGTGGGGTGTGGTGGTGGGTTTGATTTTGGGCGGCGTAGGTGAGGCGGGTTAAGGGTGTGGGTCGATTGTGATTGGGTTGTTGGGTGAGGGAGCGGCGTTGGTGCGACAGGGGGAAGGTGGTGGTCAGGTGCGGCAAGGCGAGAGTCGGTGCGACGGTGGTGCGAAGGTCGGAGCTAGAGATGATTGAGAATCTGAGATAGTGAGATCTGAAAGGCAGTGAGATCTGAGAGGCAGTGAGCTAGTGAGGAGAGGAAAGAGAAACGGGCGGTGAAGGCTGAACTAGTGAATTGCTGAAGCCTGAAGGGGATCTGAGAGGATAGATCAGGAGAGAGAAGAGAGAGAGGCGAGAGTGTGATCTGAAGGGGATCTAAGAGGAGATCAGGAGAGAGAAGAGAGAGAGCTTGTGAGGGGTTAGGAAATGGATTTGGGGTTTGGGTTTTTGGGAGAATGAGGTATATGTAACTGAAAGTTTGAAACCTAAAATAAAAATGAAATAATAATGCAAGTAATTTTTTTGGATATCAGATCGGATATCTGACATCCGACTTTTTTCGAATATTGGATATCCGAAATTCAAAATTTGGATATCTGATATCCGATCCGATATCTGAAAAATCCGAATCGGATATCCATAATCTTCGGATCGGATGCGGATTAGATCATCGGATTTTCGGATCTTCAGAAGGTTTTGCTCAGCTCTACATGTACCTATAAATCTATAAACTATCGCCTAAGAGCAATTATAGTTCTAGTACTTGTAGAAAGCAAGTTCAATACAATTCAAAGTGTTGAAGTACAATTGGAGATAAATAATGAGAATTAGGGCTGAGCAAAACTATCTGATTATCCGAAAATCCGAAAATATGATCCGCATCCGATCCCAAAATTTAGGATAATCGATCCGAAAATATTTTCGGATCGGATATCCGATCCAAAAATTTCGGATTTCGGATATTTGAAATGATCCGAAAGTAGCAAACTTAAAAATACCTCCCATTCTTTTAAAAAAAACCCTAATTAAATGACAGTCGGCCACCTCCTTTTTATCTCTCTCTCTTCTCTACATTCTCACACACCTCTTCTCTCCTCTCCCCTGTCACACATCTTTTCTCTTTCCTCCCTTTCTTTTCTCTCTCCTCTTAATTCCATACTGCATTTTTTCTTCTCTATCCTTTTATGTCCATAATCCATTCTTTCTTCACTCAACTTTTAACTCCAGAACAACAACACCGAGCAACATCGGCGGTTGCCAACAGTGACCAACAGCAACACCGAGCAACACCGGCAGTTACCAACAGCGACCAACAGCAACACCGAGCAACACCGGTGGTTCCCAACAATGACCAACAACAACACAGATTCTGGCCAACAGCAACACCGACACCGACGAGGCTGTAATTTCAGATCTAATATAATATAGGTTAGGATTTGGATGTAGTTTATTTTTTTTTTTCAAATTTCAGATTTTAATTACTTGTATTTTTTTATATAATTGTAATTTTAGATTATATTAAGTTTAGTTCATAATTTTAGATAATTGATCATTTTTGTAATTTTGGATATACATTTCACATTTTAATTGGTTGGTGTGTGGTGGCTGCATGCCGATTGTTGGTGTTGCTGGGCGAATGAGAGCACAGTCGCATAGAGCAGCCATATATAGATTATAGAAGCAATTTTTTTTTTATGAAATATAGAAGCAATTTATAAAAAGGGTCGGATATTGGATATTCGAGTTATCCGATCCAAAAATTTCAGAAATCCAAAAGTTTCGGATCGAATATTGGATATCAAATATCTGGATTTTCGGATACGGATATCCGATCCGTGCTCACCCCTAATGAGAATGTGCAGGTAAAGAAGGTGTGAATATTGTGAATTTGGCGAGATTCAAAGAACAAAGACCTTACCTGAGCTATTTAAAACATGTATCAGGTGAAATGGAGTTCTTCCCTCGTATCCCGTGCAACAAATAGAATAGGGAGACCTCAATATCTCCAAAGCTAACCTGCTTAACTTATTATAGACAGCATCGTAAATCATGTAGACGCCTCGATTATCAGGCGTATTGCAAATCAACTCCATATCCATTTGTAAAGTCGCCAACGCACATTCCTCGTGATCATTAGCAAGAGCCAGGTAGCAAGGGGTATCTCCTTCGGTAGTCTGCTGTAACCAGGGTCGTTGCGAAAGGTCTGATGGTAATGATGGCATTGATCTGTACACATCTAACATCATCTTTATTATCTTTACATTGCCGAGATCGGCCGCTACATGAAGAGGGTTTCCGTTGAGTGGTTCACGTGGTTGGAGGAGGAGTTGGTGAGTGTTTTCAAGAGGTAATATTTTGATGGCCTCTCTTAGAAACTCTTCTCTGTTATTGTACGCTGCCATGTGGAAGATATTCCCATGATGACGATCATGTTTATCAGCATCACTGCTTTTTGGGTAATAACTCAGGTAGTATTCCATGGGTTTATTGGATTCAACACATTTTCTAAGGAATTCCACATCTCCGCTCAGAGCCGCATCTCTCAGATCCTCATCCATTATTTCTAACGATGAGGCAATGTTTTCAAATTATGAAGCTTTCAGTTTTGTGTTTTAAGTTTTAAGTTTTTGTGCTTTCAGTTTTTAGTTCATCCTATCCAGCTGTATATGATTAATAAAGAAAGATATGTCAACTTTATTAATTATAATTATAAATTTAGTTTAATATTCTTTATGTGCCAAGTTGCCAACACATCATTATGTACAACGTTAATTATGTACTACCCCAATTGCAAGTCCCAACCCTTAACATATTGTGAGAGATCCAATGGTCACGAAATTTTGGCATCAAGCACGACTATTATCCAAGACAGCATAAGTTCTTTTAAGGCATTCTTATTTGTCCTTACTCTCAAGTAATATTTTAGCATATGATCTCTATAAAGGAATGAAAATATTGAAAAGTACCTTATATATTTACTCATGACTGGATCCGAATCTTTTAACATGTTCAATCATTTTTTATTCTAAATTAAAAGAACACGTGGTGTATGATAACAACATAAATTTAAAGATCGTATATACTTCAAGACCAAAGGGCGTATCATCTAAATCAAAGTGCACAATTTGTTAGTTTGACCAGTTGCACCATGAGCATTGTGCATTTGGGTGCAGCAAATAATATGGCTTTTAAGTTTTAAAGGTACAATACATCTCCTCTCACATCCATCTTTTAAGATGTCATCTTTGGATTTATCTCAACAACTAATGTGTAATACTGTAAGCTACCTCTTCAATTATCTCAACAACTAACGTGTATAGTCATGCTTAATTAATTAAATTTCGAAGTAGGTGGGTATACAATATGGATAATAGAATAATAGCAATTTGGTACGCAGTAGTTGTAACGTTAAATCTTGATTATAATATACTTCATATTTGTGTTAATAATTAGTCAAATATTTTTATTTAAGAAAACAAAACCCCCCTTTTTTTTGTCCTAGAAATGATAAAGTCAACTATAGCAATATGATCTAATCTGGAGATTCATGCCAGTACAAAGCTAAGTTGAGCATTATTTCAGCTTGTAATTATTTATCTAAAAGTATATTTTAAAACGACTAATAAAATACTTGTCTACTTTTCCAAGCACATGATCGTACACGAATCCCATTCTTCTAACCACTCTTTGATTTCATTTCCTCAACAGCGTAAATCAAAATCAATTAATGAGTCATGCATCTTTATTTAATCAAATGACTAGTTTGCCGACTTAATATAGTGTAGTTTATTTCTTAAGTATCCGAGATAAGTTCATATGCTGATATACCTCATATATTAAGAACATGAAAGATAGTGGTTTAGTTAGAGTAATTTATCCTTTTTGAATCATAGGAAATAATATTGTCATCATGTATTGCGTTATGGCCAAAATTAAGAAAAATTGATGTATTTGTGAGTCATATTCCTATTTCTATTCATCTAAGGATTCTTAATTTGATCAATAACCAGTGTGTGGCTTGATCTTTGCTCCGGGTGATACTTTGTGTAATTTCATTTTTATATTAGATGGTTTAAATTACTTGTTATTTATTTTATTGTGAATAAATTAGAATACAATGAGAATAATAAATTATTGTGGATTTTTTTTTTTATTTTTTTTATATTCTATACATGCATGTATACATATTTAAATGTAGATTAATAAAGCATGACTTATTTTTAGGTAAGATGGTGATGTTGTGGTTTTCATTTGAGGAGGTTTAGTGTTCAAACCTCTTTAAATGCATTTTTATGTTACATTTTCTTGAAATAAAGACTATTGAATGACAATGTGGCATGATGGTTGTGTAAGAAGGGTACACATGGCACATAAACATTTTTAAGTATGCCTTTTAATATATAGTAAATATATTTATGTTATACTTCGGTATTGATACTTTGTTTGCCATCATGGATTACTTCATCAGTGTTTGACAGGTTAATTTATTTGTGTTTGAGAGGTTAATTTATCAAGGGTGTTAGAGAGGTTACTTCGTTAGTGTTATATGGATTACTATGTTCTTTTACAAGCAGCCACATGATGTGGCCAGTCGCGCAAAAAATGCTCTATGCTTTAATTACTTAATTTTTTTCATTCATCATTCTCTTCTAATAACTTAAAAAATTTTGTGGCTTAGTATATCTACTGATTGTAACCTAATTCAGATGGAAACTTATCCAAACTCCAAACTATTTCTGATGCTATTCTGGAAGATAAACCTCCCTAACTCCTTCTCTGTACTATTAACTTTTAAGTAATGCCATTCCCAGCTTGCATAAAAAAAACAAATAAATAAAAAGATTTACCCTTGTTAATGTACATTTTATACCATTAATATATGTATTTATTTATATTTAATTTACTAAAAAGGTATAAAATGTTAATGTTTTAAAAATATATAGAAAACAGTTCTAATAAGATCAAACATTATTACGTTATTTCTAACTCTTAAATAACAAAGGATGGTCATGAGAATACGTGTAAATAGGGTAAAATTTTATATAATGTGAACAAAAGAGAACATAGTAAGTATTATTTAAGACTATGACCTAATAATCTATATTATATAAATAAGCTAAGGCCAACTGTTGTGGTTTCCACTTTAAATTATCTTAATACCCTTCCTCAATTTTGATTAAACACTATTTGGTTGGATAGTTAATTACCTCGTAAATTATTATTTAAAAATCAGATAAAGAAAAAAAAAACAAATCATTGTCATTAAGTTATTGTGTATTAATCGCGCGAATTTACAATTTTTGAAAACTATACTATTGAAAACCACTAGCACAGAAAAGCTCATTTGCGTCGGTCATTTAGGGGGTATTTGCGTCGGTTGTACAACCGACGAAAAAGAGTCATATTCCTGCCAAAAACGGGCTATTTTTGGTGGGAAATAAGGCCCATTTGAGTCGGTTGTAGGCAAAGAACCCACTACTAGAAATAGGCCGATTTTCGACGGACCAGAATTTCCGTAGGAATTTTTGAATTTTTCGAGGAAATTTAATTCGTTGGAAAATTCCGTCGGAATACCAACTTTCCGCCGGAATATCCCTCGTAAATGTTCCGACGGAATTAATTACTGTCGGAAGTACTAAGTTCCGACAGAAATTAATTCCGTCGGAACTAATAAAAAAAAAACAATGCATCTCTGACTTCTGGGTTTTTTCGAAATAGAAATAGAAAAGGGAAAGGGAAAGAGAAAGAGGAAGAGGAAGAGGAAGAGGAAGAGAAAGAGGAAGAGAAAGAGAGGACCACCAGATCCACCGCCGCAACCACCGTCCCTACACCGCCGTTATTCCAAGGCCGCCGTTGGGTAAGTGTAGTGCATTTTTTTTAATTTAATTATTTTCGGTCGGATCCCTAACTGGAACCACCATGTCTACAGCCACCCTCGTTCCTCCTTCATCGGTGCGACCAAAACCACTTGCTGCCGCCCCTGACGCCGCCGCGAGTTAGTGTTGTTGTTGTTGTTTTTTTTTTTTTTTTAATTTTTTAAAAGTACCACTTAACCCTAATTGTACTACCTCTTCGCAGCCACCACCGACGCCACCTCCACCAAGCTACCTTCTCCCCTCCGTCGCTGTGACCAGAATGACCCTTTCCCCCTACTGAAAGTTCCGGCAAGTCCACGTTATCAAAGTCCATTTACTATTTTAATTTTATCTTTTGTCTTGTATAGAAATTTTCATCCTATCCAGCTGTATATGATTAATAAAGAAAGATGTGTAAACTTTATTAATTATAATTATAAATTTAGTTAGTACGGTTAATTTAATATATATTCTTTACGTGCCAACCCATCATTATGTACAACATTAATTATGTACTACCCCAATTGCAAATCCCAACCCTTAACATATTGTGAGAGATCCAATGGTCACGAAATTTTGGCATCAAGCACGACTATTATCCAAGACCAGCATAAGTTCTTTTAAGGCATTTTAATTTGTCCTAACTCTTGAGTAATATTTTAGCATATAATCTCTATAAAGGAATGAAAGTACCTTATATATTTCTTCATGACTGGATCCGAATCTTTTAACAAGTTCGATCATTTTTTATTCTAAATTAAAAGAGCATGTGTTGTATGATAACAATATAAATTTAAAGATCGTATATATTTCAAGACCACAGAACATATCATTCAAAATCAAAGTGCACAATTTGTTAGTTTGACTAGGTGCACCATAAGCATTGTGCATTTGGGTGAAACAAATAATATGGCTTTAAAAGGTACTATACATCTCCACTCACATCCATCTTTTAAGATATCATCTCCTCTCACTATATATTCTGCTGCATTTCTCAGCTTTTGTAATACTGTAAGCTACCTCTTCAATTATCTCAACAACTGACGTGTATAGTCATGCTTAATTAATTAAATTTCGAAGTAGATGGGTATGCAAAATGGATAATAGAATAATAGCAATTTGGTACGCAGTAGTTGTAACCTTAAATCTTGATTATAATATTTTTATTTAAGAAACACCTCCCCCCCCCCCCCCCCCTTTTTATCCTTGAAATGATAAAGTCAACTATTGCAATATGATCTAATCTGGAGATTCATGCCAGTACAAAGCTAAGTTGAGCATTATTTCAGCTTGTAATTATTTATCTGAAAGTATATTTTAAAACGACTAATAAAATACTTGTCTACTTTTCCAAGCACATGATCGTACACGAATCCCATTCTTCTAACCACTCTTTGATTTCATTTCCTCAACAACGTAAATCAAAATCAATTATTAATGAGTTATGCATCATTATTTAATCAAATGACTAGTTTGCCGACTTAATATAGTGTAGTTTATTTCTTAAGTATCCGAGATAAATTCATATGCTGATACCTCATGTATTTAATGTGCAGTGACTGAAGTCTTTGGCTTACAAAGTTTTTAAAATCCATAATATAGTCCCTCCATTTTGCTTAGATACTACACTTTTGTCTAAAACGCAACACTTTATTAATTAAATATAAGTATAATATAAAAACAGCAAATTTTGTGCAATTGCATTCCCTCTCTTACAACCTAGGATCAGCATTACATAAATACTACATACCTTGCAATCCTGGCCATACAACTGTCCTTAAGGAAATAATCAAGACATAGCAAGATTGCTAAAAGACGACACAAGCAAAACAACAAAAGACGAAATAAAAAACTATTCTGATGAAATTTGCAAATAAGTAGGTTTAGGGCATGCTTGGGATGAGGGTAATGTATTATTAGGGTAATAAAAGTCAAATTTAAGAACATGAATGTAAATCTAAGGGAAAATGATAAAGTGATAATGTGTTTGCAAGTTGATTATATATTAATGGTGTGGTGGGAGGTAGAAGAAGGGGAACTATTATCCTCATTTTGGGGGTAATAGTTACTCACCCTCCCTCTAGTGTAACTATTTCCCCCAAAATGAGAGTAATAGTTTCCATTTATTTACTTCCCAACAAACCATCACTACATAATCCACTTGCAATCACACTACCACTCTCTCATTTTTCCTTGTATTCACATTCATTTTCTTATTTTTGACTTCTGTTACCCTAATAATATATTACCCTCATCCCAAGCAAGCCCTTAGCCTTGAAATTGGGTGCAAATTTCTTCGGTAAGCTTGCTCTCTAATTTTTTTTTCTTTTTTATATTATATTTTAATTGTCTTTTTGAAAGAAAGCTCTTCAATGGTTTATAACTAAAACGTACTCGTGCTAAAACACAGAATATATATATTCTATGCGACAAAATATAATCTTTAAAATTATTGCTATGGATAGGTAGTTATGGGTAGTCTTTAAAAAACACAGTAACTGGTAATACACACATATATTTAAAAACACAGTAATCAGGATAATGTGAGAACCTAGGTCTATAATAGGAACTAGGAACTCATCTGGACCGTTGATCGCGCTTAATCTAATGGCTCATCACATTCCACCCACCTCATTAATGGCATTTTTGTAATTTACGCGTTGAATGACCTTCGTCCTAACTCATGCGCTGTTCATTTTCTTTCTCTCTCTTCTTCCGCATTTTCTCTCTCTTGAATTTGTTTTCTCACTCCTCCTGCAAACTCTCTCCTGCGAATATTGCGATCACTGAGCTCTTTGCAAGTTCTCTTCTCAAATTCGTAACTTTTCAGCTTTGCTCATTATTCTAGCAAAATTATGGGCAGGTAAGTTGATTTGATTTCATCATCATTATTTTCTTTGATAATTCGAATTTGAAACAAGTTTTTTGCGATTAAGGGTTTTCTCGATTATTTGTTTGAGTCGTTGTGATTTCTATTGATATATTAGGGATTATATAATTATATGTTTGCATATTTACGATTTTGATTGTTGAAATTATAGTTATTTCAATTCTTTATTTTAAAATTATAATTTCAATTGCTAAAATTACTACAATTTCTTTGTGTTTGTGTTTTTAGGCAATTTTTTAGGATTTTCATTTTTCTTTATTTTAATTAGGGTAGTTGCTGCATTTTTAATTTAGTTGCTCAATGATTTTTGTCGTAGGAGATAAAGTATATGAATACTAAAGTGACGTTTTTTTTTTTGTTGGGATTTAGCTAGAGCTTTAGATTGAGTTTTACATGTTTGATGAAATGCTTGAAAGAAGAAAGACTATAATATGATGATGAATTGGTGGAGCTCTGTTAGGAGGAGGTGTTAGGCTACCTGTGGACTGAGAAACCGCTGGTAGTAATGGCAATTGGGGTTGTTGTAATTGTTGGGTTTGCAGTACTTTTATCTCTTGTATATTTCCTTGAATTTGTCATCGATTCAACCTTGTGCTATACTATTCTAAACTCAATCGCTAGAGTTATAACCATTATTGTATTAATTTATAGGAGGCTGCTGGGTAAAGATTTGTCGGGCTTGAGCATGAAAGAATAGAAGCTACTGGAAAAGCAACTCAATGTAAGCCTGCTACACATAAATGCTAAGAAGGTGGCTTTAATTTTGTGGTGCCTTTTGTTTATTTCTGTCCTCTATTTGAGACTACTCGTATTATTGTTCGACAAGCACCCACATTAATAGAATTTTATGTGAATATTTGCTACTGCAGGACCAATTACTTATGTTGTTATATAACACCATCTTAATTGCTTAATGTATGTATATGTGTGCACTCGTCCGCGTGTTAGTGTGCAATTGTTGGGCATTGCAATTGTTGAGTTGTTACTTTTGAGCTTAAATTATTTATTTCCGAGGTTATTGTAATGATTAAGTTTCGTACATTGTTGTGTGGTGTTGATGTTAATGGTTGCGTGGAGAGTTGTGTGTGATTGCTGTTTGGTACTAGCAGCAAGGGTATTGCAGATTTTTGTTGTGGTGCTATTTGTGGTGCTATGTCGTTTAATATTCGTAATCATTTTCTCTGTACAATAATTGGTATTTGGTACTACTTAAATAGACTGATAGCACTAACCTATTAACTCAATTGGTAAAGCATTGTGCAAATGCACAAAGGATGTGGGTTCGAATCCCACGTAGGTTCATTTGTATTTACTTTAAGAAATATTTTATTTACTTCAACTTATTTTGTATCTACTTTTATTACTTAGAAACTCAAGCTCACTTATCCAAGGATTAAAGGTATGACAGAAGGTTTTATAATCTTATACTACGTATTTAAGCATTCATAGCAATTAGACTGTCAATAAGCATTTCTTCCTAGCAATTTCCTGATTTTAGAAGTAGAGAAGGTGAATTTCATTTCTATTACTTTAATAAATATTTTATTTACTTTAACTTATTTCATCTGGTCTTAGCAACTGATTTTGAAGTTGCTGATGTTGTCTTTGCTTATTTTATTATTGTCAACTTTATATACACTAGCTTACTAGCTCAAGAGGTAGAGTATTGTGCAAATGCACAAAAGATGTGGGTTCGAATCCCACGTAGGTTCATTTGTATTTACTTTAAGAGATATTTTATTTACTTCAACTTATTTTGTATCTACTTTTATTACTTACAAACTTTAGCTCACTTATCCAAGGATTAAAGGTATGATAGAAGGTTCTATCACTTATACTAGATATTTAAGCATTCATTAGCAATTAGAGATTGTCAATAAGCATTTCTTCATAGCAATTTCCTTATTTTAGAAGTAGAGAAGGTAAATTTCATTTCTATTTACTTTAATAAATATTTTATTTACTTTAACTTATTTTGTATCTACTTTTATTACTAGAAGCTTAAGGTCACTTATCTAAGAATTAAAGACATAAACATGTTGGTAAACTAATACCCTGCCTTTTCTTTTTAGCAATGTGCACCCTAGACTGAATAGTGTGAGTAAATATAATTTACTTTTAAGTAAATACTATTTACTTTTGATTTACTTTTTAGCTATTTTGATATACTTTTGAGATGTTTTGAATTACTTTAGAATGTTTTGTATTTACTTTTAGAGGTAACCTATGTAGGAATCGAACCTACATCTCTATGCATCCGCATAGTGCTCTTCCACTTGAGCTAATAGGTTTACTTTAGAGTCTTTTTTATTCACTTTAAATACTTTTTTATTTACTTTAGACAACTACTATAGGAAGCTACATTTTCCAACCTTATTCATCTTTTGTAATTTCAAACCCAATGTAAACCCATTCCCCGCCTTTGCTTTAGGGATTTGTTAAACATCGCCCGCAAATCTCCACATAAAGCCCACAAAATTCACTTGATTTGACAATATTACCCTTGACCTAAAAAAAACACTCACACTCTCATCACTCACACTCTCATCGCTCATCTTCTTTCAACATCTCAAAAAAAAAAAAAATATTCAAACAACGGCAATGTCGAGGCGGCAAGGCAAGGAATTGGCGGCGGCGGCGGAGGGAAGGAGGTCTCAAGGAGGCAAGGTACAATTTGTTAAAAAAAAAAGGGAAAACCGCCGTGACGGAGGAGGGGCGCCTTGGCCGG